CCCCAGAATAGGGGCACAGAGGATCCTGTAAGCACTGCAGAGCCAATGACCAGAAGAAACCCAAGTTCCTTACTGTGGCAAACCTAGCACAAACCCAGCATCGAGTCCAAAAAGTAACTCTGGACCCATCTAAATGCAGACACCTAACCTCAAGCACTGGGGCAGCTTCCTGCAGGCAATCCTCAGCCCAAACATTTCCAGCCAAACAGGAGAGCATTTTCCCCGAGACCAAGGGCTTGGGCAACAGAATTTGGCCATATTTATGGCCTCACCTGCTGCAGGGATTTTAGAACATGACAGAAACAAAACCGGGAAAGATGTGTGGGGTTTTTTGAAAATTTCATTTGATATTTTACCCAGAAAAATTGTTTTATGTCTCAAACGATTGAAGTGAAATGAAGGACTCCTCGTGCCCTTCCCAGCCTTTCTCCTCCCTGAGCACATGTAAGCCTCCAGCAGCCTGAGGCAAACCCCCATCAATGCACATCCCAAGGGTTCTTGGCTCCAGGTGCTCTCTCTGTTGAGTGTGAAAGATGAGCAGGAGCCCTAGAACTGTTTGATTTCAATCTGGTTTAGCCCAGAAGTGTCATTAAAAGCAAACTCAGGCTATGATGTATGTGATCACCCTAAACCTAACCTTAATCCCAACCCTAACCCCAATCGTAACCTAAACCCAAACCCCTAACCCTGGCTAAACCTAACCAATGGCTAACTCTAACCCTAACGGCTAACCCTAACTGACACAGAATTGGTCTTGAATCTGGATCCACGGTGTAGAAAAAGCCTTGACTGCTTTGCTTGTATGGCTTTTTCAACCAGTGAACCTAAGTTCAGTCCCGTGCCATGAAGAGGGGAAAGACTTTTCTCCAAGTTTCTTGGGTATTGTATAGCATTTCCATTGCTCAGGAATAAATGCACTTGAAGAGTTTTTACTATTACAGACTTCAGATATCAACCAAGAAAACACCATACAGGAGGTAATTCCATTTTAATAGTCTTTGAATTTCCAGTACTTAACAGGAAAAATAATAGAGGAAGTGCAGGAGTACACAGCCATTACCAACAGAAGCAGTATTAGTAAGCTTCTAAACATTGTTTTTTGGTATTTCATGGGAAAAACATTTAGCCCAAGACTTCTTATCTGTAAAGTTCTTGGGGGCTGAGGGAAGATGGAACCTGATACTTAGTAAATTGCCTGAGAATCACAGTTTAGAGTTACTCAATGTCTTCTGGCCTTACAGGATGAGGCAGAGGTATAACTGATTTCTTCTCTGTATCTCTAGAAAGAGCTTTTCTCATATCTGTGTCAAAAGAAAAAATGCTATTATAATAAGGCAGTCACTGTACTAAGCTATAGTACGTGTATTCTCTATTAAAATAGGATCATTTTTAATCAAGAAGATTTCCTAGAATCATAAAATACCTCAAGTTGGAAGGGACCCATAAGGGTCCAACTCCCTGCTCCACACAGGACCACCTAAAACTAAACTATATGATTAAGAGTATTGTTCAGATGGTCCTTGAATTCTGACGGGCTTGGTTTCGTGACCATTTCCCTGGAGAGCCTATTACAGTTACCAACCACCCTCTCGGTGGAGAGCCTTTTCCCAATGCCCAGTCTGAACTTCTTTATGTCCCATCAGTGGTCACCACAGAAAGGAGATCAACATTTCCCCCTCTACTGCCTGCCTTGAGGCAGCTGTGGACTGTGATGAGGGAATGCCTCAGCCTTCTCTTCTCCAAGCAGAACAAGCCCATAGATATCAGCTGCCCCTCCTAAATCTTGCCCTTGAGACCTCTCGCCATTTTGGTTGTGCTCCTCTGGATACACTCTAATTACTTGATGTCCTTAATGTTGTTCAGCAGCAATGTTATCAACTGAAATATAACGCTACATGAAATTCAACTGAATGGAAAGGAAATGGCAGGCTGAAGGGAAAAGATATAATTTACGGAACCTGCAACAACACTAGATGTCCGTCCGTAGTGCTTGTATTTCATAGTACTCCTACATATCAAGTGAATAGTGCAAGGACAGAAATGATACACAGCATGGCCATGTAACCCTTTGGAAGGATAATTAAAGAAGATCTAGAAAGAGGAAGCACCTAGTAGTTCACTTTTGTTATAAGAATTAACATACTTGAACTTCCATGTTCCCTCCCTTTTAAACTGAAAATGCCACCAATTCTCTGCCACTGCTGACCACTGACATTTGTAAATTTGTACTTAAGACATCTGAGAAGAACAAAGTTTCAAGACCTGGTTATGGGAAGAAAGCACTGCCATTTCTTCTTCAGCTTTATTCTTGTATTGCAGTTTATTTTGCCTCAGATGCTACAAAATGTGTAAGCTGCAAGATTAAGTTTTGTAACTGATGTAATGAAAAGTTTCCTAAAAGAGGATACAAAATCCCATTTACCAGCAACTATTTGAAATTGTTTCACATAGTCATAATCATCATCACCATCTTATAAACAAGCCCAGGAACCCTGAAAGTGAGAATCATTCCATTCAACTTAAGGCAGAGCAAGTACTTACCATAAGCATCTTCATCTGGTTCCCCACTGCTAGCAGAGTAGTACTCTAGCACTGTCCGGTACACACTGTAGCCTAGTTGCTTATACATATTTACAGCAACCTGGTTTGATACTCTCACAAAGAGATCGACAAAAAATCCACCCTTTCTTTAGTGCGGGGAGGGAAAAACAAGCAAACAAAAAATACATTAAGGAAGAGTAGGTGAATGTATTTCCAAGTAACAACCCATAAACTGCAATTAGACCAAAGTCTAATGGTGTGCACTAATCAAGCATCTTTCACACTGTAATAACAGATGCACTCCTTTAACAGTATAGGCACAGACTTCATTTTATTTTTGTCACATGGCCCTTCTACACCAGTCAGTGGGTGTAGAAATGTGAAAAAAAAGGACAAGCTAAACACCCACACAAGCCTCATATCTGTATGATGATTTTTTTTAAAGCCCACATTGTAGATTGCATTGGCATTGGAGGGCTGGAATCAGTCACACCATGCACTTGCCCAAAAGGCAGATTTTTTTAAAACATCATAGCATTTTACCAACTATACAGTTTTTACCAACTATGATTTTACCAACTAGAGTGGGGCTGCCCTACCAGAATGAGTTAAGGACATTTTCCTGTAGGTTAATTTGACACTAAATTAAATTTTCTCAGACACAAATAACCAAGCACAAGACGGAAAGAAAGCTAAGATACTGTCTGCTGTACAAAATTTGTTCAGGAGTATGCCTGTGGGCATCACACAAGGCCCACAATCACTCAACGAGTACGCTGGAGGACCTGTGGGAAACTCAACAGACATTTAGCAAAGCTCTTTTCCTAAAGTGACTTTGATATAGTATCTGTGCTGGAATTCAGGCTATGTCTGGCAAGTTAGCTTCCAGAGAAACCCTGAGATTTTAAACCACCAAGCAACTTCCATAGTTCTTGTTCATTGACTATGAGGAATTTCAGAAAATCAGAACTCCACTTACAGCAAAATTCCGGGTCAGTTTTATGTACATCAAACATCTAATCCAAGAACAGGTGTCTGTAGAAATGCTACTTTAAACGATAAAGATAAGCATACTACTCACTTTTCTGAGATTTCTTCCAGTAGCTCCATCAGTTTAGCGGCCAAGCCCAGCCGTCGAAATTCCGGTGCGACAGAGAGAGCGGTGACATGTCCATGCCACTCTTCCCTGGCCACAGAGCCTTCAGCTTTCCCCATGACTGCAAACACACAGAGCAGCAGCAACACCTCTGGAGTAACACATCACCCACCTTCACAAGACGACTAAGCCATGTCAATAAACATTGCAGTGGCTGTGTGAAGGCTCAAACAGGGATGTGTACCCGATCACTCTTACGATTCAGCAACCACTAAAAATGTCATTTTGCTCAAGTATTACAGCAGTTTCTTGACTATGGTAAAAAAAAAACAACAGCTTTGCCAACTCCTTCCTTGATGCATGACTTCCAAATGCAAATTTTAAGCAATTCTCGTGAGTCTTTCACTGGGCAGAATTTAGGATCTGATGAAACTAACAGAGGAACAGATGCCTAGAAGCCCAAAACTACCATCCCAGCAACTACTGGAGATTTTTGGAGACCATGGGGAAATGGAGCTTGGGAAGCTTTGTCAATCTGGCAACAGAAAGCGAAGGCTCTGCAAACACAGTATGTTTAAGGGGGAAAAAAAGGGAAGGAGGTGGGAATGTTGTTTTGGGGGCTCCTTTCTAGTTTCTCTCCTTTCTATACAGGGCCAAACCAGTGTCACTTCATTAATGAACATTCATGCCTTCACACTTACAGATATCACAGTCATTGCTAATAAGCAACTGATGTGGTAGGTACAGAGAAGTGTTCTGTACAGCACATACTTTCAGCTTTACTGTTGTCCCTGCAAAGACCCTTACTCTGCCTCCTACCCTGCAGTCCCTGCCTGTTCCCCTCTTGGCAGCTCTCTTTGTCACGATTTCTGAAAAACACAAATATTCCACAGCAAATTAGCAAAAGACATCCAGACCCAGAGCTTTGCCCTACAAGACAATGCAAAACCCAGGCCCGGCACTTTCACTGACTGATGACTATGTGTGGTCAGAGCTGAACACAGGCACTCAACTCCAGGTAACACTCACTTGCCTGTACCAAACCTGGGTGGACGTTACCAGAGACAGAGCTCCTTGCTGCACTAGGAACATCAAACTGGAAGTGGCTGCTATGAGTCCTACGTAAAAGCTTTAAATGTTTATGAAACAGGAAGATGCAATACAGCGCTCCCCTTCCCTGCTGGGTAATTGGAAGACGCGAAGAGCGTTATAATCCCCCGAACAGGCAGCGCAGGGCGGCTAACGCCGGACAACCCGGCACTCACTGTAACCCATCAGCTCCCCGCCCGGCGCCTCGGCCACGATGAAGTACTCGGGCCAGTGGGCCAGGTACTGCAGGTAGAAGGGAATCCCGTACTGGGGCGCTCGGTTAAGGAG